GCTTGGCCTGCTGTGTTCATCCAGCTCTGCACCTTGTTGTCTCAGATTCTCCAGCATCGGCAGTTCCTACTATCTCTGCACCAGGTTATAGTCCAACAGGTTTATTTGAAAACACAAGCTTTTGGAGCCTCACTCCTTCTTCAGGTGTTAGTTCTTCAGGAGTGAGGCTCCGAAAGCTTGTGTTTTCAATTAAACTTGATGGTCTATGCCCTGGTGTTGTGCGATTTCTGACCTTGTCCACCCCAGTCCAACACCAGCACCTCCACATCATGGAGATAGCTATTACGGAGGCTGTTACATTCTACGTTACGGAAAAGAATCATTGAATTCATACAATGCAGAAAGAGGCCATTCAGCCCATCAAGACCGCTCTGACCCTCAGAAAAATATCCCACCCAGACCCAATCCCCAATGCTGTTCCCGTAACCCCACATTTTACCATGGCTAACACACCTAACATGCACATCTTTGGACCCTGGGAGGGAACTGGAGCACTCAAATAAAACCCATGCAGACAAAGGGAGAATGTGCAGACTCCACACAGACAGTCACGCAAGGCAGGAATCAAACCCAGCTCCCTGGTGCTTTGAGGCAGCAGTGCTAGCCGCTGAGCCACTGTGCTGCCCCAATATTTAAGAAGATGGCATGTTTCTGCCTTAAACTTTTGTCCAACTCCCACTCACCCTCATCCTGCTTTCTGGCAAAATATGTAAAATTCAGCTGGTGACAACAAGGAACTTGTTTTCTACACCAACGTTTTTTTCTAAAGTCAACTCTTCTCTTCTGCATTTATGTTTCCAAATATCCAAGAACTGCCTCCTAGCCAGTCCCTGCAGCTCCATAAGAAAAGGTGAGAGTTGCTGTAGACATCTAAGGAAGAAACACTATCACTGATCAGGAACTCTCATTGGCTTAGATACACAAAGCATGTAACTTTTTTATTCATTCACAGGAAAAGGGCGTCACTGGATAGGCCAGCATTTATCACCCACCCTTAGGGCATTTAAGAATCAACCACACTGCTGTGGGTCTGGAGTCACATACAGACCAAACCAGGTAAGGATGGCAAATTTCCTTCCCTAAAGGACATTAGTAAGCCAGATACATTTTTACATCGTTGCGTGAGGTCAGCTCCCTGCTCCAGATTTTATTAAATTCAAATTTCAGCATCTGCTATGATGAGATTCAAACCCATGTTCCCAGAACTTTGGCCTGGGTTTTTAGAGTGCCAGTCGAGTGACATCATCATGACACTTAGAGGGTGGTGTGAAGTTGGATCAACATGGATAGGGTGTCAATCAACTGGGCCACTTTGTGTCAACCAATCCAAGCATGTGGTGAGTGCTGGGCATGATTGGCTAACAGCCAGACCAGAAGGAGAGGACTGTGTGCCAGCTCCCTGGAGAGTCAAGTCCAAATGAGTTCTACTGCACAAGACGCAAATGAGGGTGACATACGGGAAAACATTGATAAACAAGATATCTGCTGAGGAGGCATGCAGATTTCAAAGCATGATCTTTCTAGACTGTGGTTGAAACCGTTGCCTTCTCTCAGGATGATGCTCGTGCTCTCATCTCTGCCATCCTACCAGTCTCCCATTAGCCATCCAGTTAGCCAGTCCAGACAATGGCTGACCATATGAAACACTGTGGTTTAACTCTGGAATCAGACCCTCAAATCCTTGAGCTGTTTAATGTCATCCTGTAAGGCTATCTGCCTTCTTCGCAATTGAAAGTCACGGCCTTCTACAAGTTATTTGCTTACAGTTCTGCTTGCTACACCATCAGTAGGATGTGGAGGCTTATGAGACGGTGCAGAAAAGGTTTACCAGGATTTTAAAGGACCGCAACATCCCCCCCTCAGTGGTCGAGAACGCCCTCCACTGTGTCTCCCGCATTTCCCGCAACTCATCCCTTACACCCCGTCCCCGCAAAAACAACCAAAAAAGAATCCCCCTCGTCCTCACGTACCACCCCACCAACCTCCGAATCCAACACATCATCCTCCGACACTTCCGCCATCTGCAATCCGACCCCACCAGCAAAGACATTTTTCCCTCCCCACCCTTATCTGCTTTCCGGAGGGACCACTCTCTCCGTGACTCCCTTGTCCTCTCCACACTCCCCTCCAGCCCCACCACACCCGGCACTTTTCCCTGCAACCGCAGGAAGTGCTACACCTGCCCCCATACCTCCTCCCTCACCCCCATCCCAGGCCCCAAGAAGACTTTCCACATCAAGCAGATGTTCACCTGCACATCTGCCAATGTGGTATACTGCATCCGCTGTACCCGGTGTGGCCTCCTCTACATCGGGGAAACCAAGCGGCGGCTCGGGGACCGCTTTGCAGAACACCTACGCTCGGTTCGCACTAAACAACTGCACCTCCCAGTCGCGAACCATTTCAACTCCCCCTCCCATTCCTCAGACGACATGTCCATCCTGGGCCTCCTGCAGTGCCACAATGATGCCACCCGAAAGTTGCAGGAACAGCAACTCATATTCTGCTTGGGAACCCTGCAGCCCAATGGTATCAATGTGGATTTCACAAGCTTCAAAATCTCCCCTCCCCCTACCGCATCCCAAAACCAGCCCAGCTTATCCCCGCCTCCCTAACCTGTTCTTCCTCCCACCTATCCCCTCCTCCCACCTCAAGCCACACCCCCATCTCCTACCTACTAATCTCATCCCGCCCCCTTGACCTGCCCGTCCTCCCTGGACTGACCTATCCCCTCCCTAACTCCCCACCGACACTCACCTTTACTGGCTCCATCCCCGCCTCTTTGACCTGTCTGTTTCCTCTCCACCTATTTTCTCCTCTATCCATCTTCTATCCGCCTCCCCCCCTCTCCCTATTTATTTCAGAACCCCCTTCCCCTCCCCCATTTCTGATGAAGGGTCTAGGCCCAAAACATCAGCCTTCCTGCTCCTATGATGCTGCTTGGCCTGCTGTGTTCATCCAGGTCTACACCTTTTTACCAGGATGTTGCCTGGTTTGGAGGGTAGTAGCTGCGAAGAGAGATTGGACAAACTTGATTTGTTTTCACGTGAATGTTGTGGCTGAGGCACAAGCTGATAGTGGTTTACAAAATTATGATAGGCATGGATAGAATGGATAGTCAAAGCCTTTTTCCCAAGGTAGAACTGTCAATTATTAGGGGACATTGGTTTAAGGTAAAAGGGGGAAAATTTAAAGGAGATGTGTGAGACAAGTTTTTACAGAGAGGGAGGTAAGTGCCAGGAATGTGCTGCTAGAGGAGATGATGGAAGCAGATACAATAACAATGTTCAAGAGGCATCTTGACAAATATAAGAATAAACCGGGAATAGAGGGATACAGACCACTAGGAGGCCGCAGGTTTTTAGTTTAGAAAGGCGCCATGTTGCGGCACAGGCTTGTGCTGCCGAAGGCCTGTTCCTGTGCTGTGCTATTCTTCGTTCTTCATTCTTGTTCTTTTATACCGTAGCCACTTTACAGAGTAAAGCAGGCAAAGACACTTTCTGATGAAGGGTCTAGGCCCGAAACGTCAGCCTTTCTGCTCCTGTGATGCTGCTTGGCCTGCTGTGTTCATCCAGCTCTGCACCTTGTTGTCAAAGACACTTGCAAGACAGGTTCTAATGGGATTCAAAACATTCAATGGTTGAGTTTTGTAGGTATTATTGGATGTACTGCTGGATAAATTATGGAACGGTTTTTGTTGGTGGATTTTATTTCAGGATTTTGACCAAGAGGACACTGTGATGCCACACTGTAGATAGAGTGGAAATTGTGAAATTATGAAGCATTGGTTCTGATTGAGGTGGAGTGTGCAGGCAGGTAGGGTTAGTTTAGAATGGCATCATGGTTGGCACAGGCATTGTGGGGCAAAGGGCCTGTTCCTGTGCTGTACTGGTCTATGTTCTATGTTTTAAGTGAACTATTTGGATTTCCAGAAGGCCTTTAACAAGATACCACACAGGAGGCTGCTAAATAAGATAAGAGCCCATAGTGTTAGGGGCAAGGTACCAGCATGGATGGAGGATTGGCTGACTGGCAGAAGGCAGCGAGCAGGGATAAAGGGGTCTTTTTCAGGATGGCCAGCCAGTGACTATTGGAGTTCCACAGGGGTCAGTGCTGGTACCACCACACATTATACATTAACGATCTGGATGAAGAAACTGAGGGCATTGCTGCTAAGTTTTCAGATGACACAAAGATAGGAGGAGGAACATTGGGCAGCATGGTGGCACAGTGGTTAGCCCTGCTGCCTCACAGTGCTAGGGACCAGGGATTGATTCCAGCCTTGGGCGACTGTCTGTGTGGAGGTTGCATATTCTCCTCATGTCTGTTTGGCTTTCCTTCAAGTTCTCTGGTTTCTTCCCACATTCCAAAGATGTGCAGTTTAGCTGGATTGGCCATGCTAAATCCAGGGTTTTGGGGATAGGGTAGGAGAGTGGGTGTGTGGGTCTCAATGGGATGCTCTTCAGAGGTTCAGTGCGGACTCAATGGGCTGAATGGCCTCTATCTGCACTCTAGGGATTCTATGATTCTAACAGGTAGTGTTGAGGATATGGAGAGGCTTCAGAAGGACTTGGACAGGCCAGGAGAGTGGGCAAAGAAATGGCAGATGAAATTCAATGTGGGATAGTGTGAAGTTAAACACTTTGGTAAGAAGAATAGAGATGTAGACCATTTTTTAAATGAGAAAAGGTTTCAGAAATCTGAAGCACAAAAAGACTTAAGAGTCCTAGTTCAGAATTCTCTTCAGATTAACAGGTTCAGTTGACAGTTCAGCAGGTAGATACAAGGTTGACATTCATGTCAAGAGGGCTAGAATACAACAGCAGGAATGTACTGCTGAGGCTGTATAAGGCTCTGGTCACTGTCCATTTGAAATGTTGTGAGCAGTTTTGGCATGACCCTTTAGAAGAACTGAGATGAAGAGAAATTTCTTCAGTTAAATGATGATTGATCTGTGGAACTCATTGTCGTAGAGGGCTGTGGAGGCCAAGTCATTGAGTGTATTTAGGACAGAGATAAATTGGTTCTTAATTAGTAAGGGGATCAAGAGTTACAGTGAGAAGGTAGGAGAATAGGGTTGAGAAACATATCAGTCATGATCGAATGGTGGAGCAAACTCGCTGAACCAAATGGCTTAACTCTGCTCCTACACCTTATGGTTTTGTTGCCTTAGCGTCTAAGTGTTGTCTGAGAAACTCTAATAGTGTGTGACTTATGTTAAGAAACCACTCCTCCTGCTTCTGTGCATAATGTCCACTCTTTACACTCCATGTCCCTATCATCTCCAAGGACTGCAGAAATTAGAGACAAAAAAAAAATGCAGATGCTAGAATTCAAGGTAGACAAACAGGAGGCTGGAAGAACACGGCAGGCCAGGCAGCATCTGGAGGAAAGGAGAAGTCAACTTTTCAGGTATTACCCTTCTTCAGGGCTGCAAGAAGGGTAATACCCAAAACGTTGATTGCTCCTTTCCGCCAGAAGTTGCCAGGTTTGCTGTGCTCTTCCAGCCTCCTGTTTGTCTGCACCTTTGTCATTACCCCTATAAGTGATTAGAATCCTTCTGCTGAGTGGCCTTGAAACTCTACTGAACTCCAGTGCCTCTCTCTTCTGACTCCATGAACTTTGCAGAACTCCTGCATTAACACAGTACTTGCATTTACTTACTGGATGCAAAAGAAAATCACTTGAAGATGATATGCTGATCCCTTTTAAATAAGGCTACTGCAGTTGGGGTAGTTGGGAGTCTCACTCATTCAAATGAAGATATCTTCAAACGTGAGTGTTTAGGAGATGGAATTAATGGGACCTGAAAATTTCAAAACAACTTATCAGATGGTGAGACAGTCTCAGACACTGAACGACATTGCAATTTTCTCACTCCTGGCATGTCCATGCCATGTGATGGACCATGTGAGCTACGTCAGAAATGGTTGATCCAACATCAATTTGGCCCCTTACTGTGTATGTGGGTCTGGAAGGGTTAATATTAATTGAATGCCACAGGTATCACCTACAATAATAATGCCACGAAGACTGGTGGAGAGAGAAATTAAGGA